GCGGGCGTCCTGCCCGTTGAGGGGCCCAACTTTGAGCTGCCCGCGCAGCTGCTGCAGTCGGCCAACTCCTGGGAGCTCATGTACTACGCCTCCAAGAACGTCGATGGCCAGAACTGTCTGAAAGTGGTGCGCAGCCTCTTAACCAACAAAGGTAAGCATCACCCACTGAAGCACTGAAGGCGCAAGCTCAACTCTTTAATTCGATTTGGAAATCTTTTTCAATTGAATTGCTATCCAAATAGTATTCTATATTCTATCACTACAAACACGGGTTAAAGTAAAATGCTATTCAAAATTCGATTAGAATGGTGGGTAGAGAAAGTTTAGACAGCTCTTACAGAGCTGATCAAATATCGTACTTTAACTATCTATTTCGAATTCAACAATATTTTATATTACTGACGATCTTAAAATAAAACAAAATATCATTTCAATGAATATGTAAAGAAAATACAAAAAACTAGGACTATTTCGCTCGCATATTTTAGTGGAGTTATTTACTTTAAGATCAAATTAACTATAGCAAAATAGCAATAAGAAAAATCTAAACTTAAATTGATTTACTTTCTACGAAACTACGAACTTAGTTGGAAAGAACTTTATTGGCAGTAATAGATATGCGATTAGATATCAAGCAAAGAGCTGGTGCTCAGGCGAGTTGTCGAAAGGCTTTCAGATATATTTGGAAAATATTTATTTATTTAATTTATTGAAGTAGATGTGATGATTTACGTCTGCAAGATATAATATAAAAATAATTATATATGAAGTAAAAGGCAATTTTCAGTCAAAGTTCATATGTCTTCATTATTGTTATTTGTTTTTTGTGCCTTTTCGTTTGATTACAATAATTATTAATAATAATATACATCTATGTGAGTCCCCTAATAAAGCGCAGACTTTATGACCCCCTTAACTATTTTAGCATATTAATTTTGTTGGACATTTATAGGTATATGGGTATATATATATGTATATATATGGGTATATGGGTAATGTTATATTGAGAAAAAATGCAAAAAATAAATTGGGATACTAAATACTATACTATTTCATACATTAGCTCTGTGCCAATTAAACCTTTCATCCTAATTGCATAATGTGTAACCGCGCCCAATAACAAATGGCAATTTTGAGTCGCTCCTCTTTGTCCCAAAGACCCTGTACAAATGGCCTAAATACCCACTCACTCTTGTTCAGCAACACCTGCGGGATTCTATTTAGCTATATATCCCACTTACTCTTCCTCTGAGGGACTGATAAGTCAGAAATGAAAAGTGTGCTCTCAAGCCGCAAACTCACTAGGATTACAGCTCCACAACAGGCTCTTAGCCCCTCCGTAATACTATAACAGCAGTTAATTAAATAGAAAACAGACTTTACTCTTAATTAATAATGAAGTCAAATATTGATATATGCATATGTATTTACACCTAAAGAAAGGGTTTTTTGCGAGTTCATATTTTTTTATATGCTAGTTTTATTTTTTGTTTATTTCATTTATTAATCAGCTGAAATTTCAGTCATATAAAGTATATATATTTTATTTTTATATATTCCTTAGAATACCCCCTTTAGATTGGATTGTTGACTGTTTATGTTTACAAAATTTATACTCAGGCTGGCCATTTGGGCAGGCGTCTCTTAATTAGGTTATTAAAGCTGCCATTAGGTGCTCAATTAGCTTTCACAGGTGCGAATTATCTGACTGAGCCAGCTCATTATCCATTATCGCTGGCCTTATCGCCTGCTTGGCGGCTTATCAGTGTCAAGTGCAGCGGGGAGAGCTCGTTCCGCTGCAATTGGCGGCGGTGCAGAAAGTCACTTCACGTATCTTATCGTTAGTTGTTATATTTGTCGATTGATTAATGTTTTCTCAATTAGACTTAGTTCTTTACTTGACTTTTTATTTGTATAATTCCTTTGTTGTGGTCGACGTGTTAAGCGGCACGACAGCAATTTTCAATTTTTTTTTTCGCCCGTTTTTCTAACTAATTCCCATTTCAGACTTTGTATTTGTGTTTTCTTGATATTTGCGGAATGCGTTATCGATATATGAATAAATATATGTATTTATATCATACCTACGTATACATAGGTAGAATAGCTTTTAGCAAGTTAAAATAAACCATTAAAGTTCGAAGCACATGATCTCATCTCAAGCTTTTTATGCCCTGAACGTGTTCAACATGAAGGGTATATTGGTTTTGTTGCAATCCCCGTAACAGAGGAGAGAGAGAAAATGTGGGATATGACTCTACTGAATTAAGCTGAATTGATGTGAGCTACAGATTTCAATAAGTCACATAGATTTGACATATGAATACCAGTTTTGTTGCGCATCATCGATAACTCTTCCATTCTCATCAAATCGATTGAGGTCGATTGCGAATTTCAAATAATTATGAAACTCAGTTCGTATATTCCCAAGCTCAATAGATAACTTTACCCATTTCTCTCAAACAGAAAAAGCTTCATTTCATGTTTAGAGTATCTTTCAGCCGGGTTCACTCATCTAGAGCTCTTTTAACTTATTTTCCCTAACAGTTTTGCAACTTTTTCGCCGTTTTGTTTCTCTCCTTTTTTAAGGTCAGGTGCATAGCGTTTTACACATATCGCATGATTGACCAAAGCAGCGCTCTTATGACGGTTGATTAGATCAACTAAAACTGACGATCATTCAGATTTTTCCTTTAATTTTATGACATTTGTTTTGTTTGTCAGTTTATCTAGCTATAAAGCTGGCCAGCCAGAATCGTCAACGAAAGTCTTATATAACACTCGACAACTAATTGAATTTACACGTTTTTATTTTATTTGGGCTGAGGCACAGACACGTGCGGAGCAGTATTTAGCAGATGGAAACTGGAACTCGAAATTCGGTTCTACAAAAGTTCGAACTCAATCTGCGTTCGTTTGAAGTGTTTGCATTATTTATACTTGGATTTTATTGCCTGTATCTGAGTTTAGTGTTCCAGGGAAATTCGCTATCCTACTTTCCAGATATCCGGATACGCGGAAAATTACCCGCCACGACATCCGTGCTGAAAACATGAATGGGATTAAGATTTAGGTAGACGTATTCCGGTTTCCCTACTATAAAAACAAAGACAGTGTCAAATGATTAATGAGAGACATATGCATACATACATACATATTTATGTATGTACATAATTTTGGTTTATGAAGCCCTTTGCATTATTAACTTGCTATGATTCAGTATCAGTGTAAAATTTAATTATTTTTGCATAAAATATACAATCACCTCTTTAAAAAAGAATTAAATTTAAATTCGTGTTTATTAAAAATAATTTATATATAAATTAAGATAACGAATTTGAATTCAAACCATTTGAAGCCATTTGAGCTGTACATTTTTTCACGTTGGCAATGCTGTGAGGTTGCTAGCATTCTCTCACTCTCTTCTTTGGTGGATTTAAATTTAACAGAACAGTCGCAGCCAGTGTTGCCAGATTAGCTATTTAATAGCATTTTTAGCTATTTTTGAACCATAAATGCTATGAAAATTTTGAAAATGCTATTAGCTATTAATTTAGCTATTTTACAAACGAATATTTTGAATTTGATTTTAGTATTTAAAGCAAAAAAAAAAAAACATTTTTCGATTAAGTCCCAAATTGTACGTAATGATCTGCGCGATACTACCACCACGACTTTGTCGTACTTATACCATCACTAGTTGTGAATTTATACCATCGCTAATTCTTCTTGCGCAGCAATGGCAAATGCTGCCATGATTATACCGTGCCTTCCAAATATTTAAAAATGATTCCAGTTAATCAAAAATATAATTCTGATGATGATTTGGATGTGGACCAAATTGTAACATTATTAAATAACATTTAAAAATAAAATTTAAAGTAAATGCATAATGCATAAAGGTTTCAGCTATTTTGTAAGCTATTTTAAAATTTGTTTAGCTATTTTCAGCTATTTTTTAGAGACGATTTTGCTATTTTTATGTCTCAAAACCTGGCAACACTGGTCGCAGCGCGCTCATAACAGAGCAATAACAGTGCATTGCTTGCCTCTCTCTTTTTCACATGTGGATGCTAACTTTGGTGGTGGATTCCACTACAGCAACAAATAACACAGAAGCAAATAAAATTCACTCTGAGCGTTTGTCGTGTATCTGCTAATCCGCAAATTACACAATTTGTGCCAATTGTAATGTTTAAAAAATACTAGAAAATATTGTCAAAAATTGAAACGAAAAGGAAAATTTCATTCAGTGCTATAATATATTTTCTAAAATAAAAATCGTGTAAAATAAGCAAGCAATTTTCTTTAAAATTGCGAACAGAAACTTAACCCTCCTCTGGCTCATCCAATAACTCAAACTGCGTGTTTGTGTATAGCGAGGCGTGTGTGCGTGTGTAAGCGTGCGTAAGTGTATGTGTCAATCTGTCGGACGTCGTTGCTCCGTCACGAGTTTGGAGCGCCGTTTGCCCGGCTGGCGATATTTCTTTTTACCTTAGAATTCATTTGGAAGTTTTGTTGTTGTTTGCATTCGTTTATGTCTCACAACCTTTGGACTGGCCACAGCCTTGTGGCTATTGTGATTACCAACAGTGTTGTTGTTGTTATTAGTGCCAACCAGTGAAGTGAAACGCGCGTGAAGTTCGCAATCAAAACTAACTGAAAAAAACCAATCTGTGTGGCTATTTTCGACACGTGAGTTTTGTTCATTTGCTTACATTTATTACTCGTATTACCCGTAGAACTGGCAGAGGCAGCATATGTACATATGGACATACATACATATGTTGATGTTGCATTTCTTTTCACCAAACATTTTTGTGACTCTTCCTTTCACTTAAGTTAGGGAAAACGCCTTTTACTTGCAGACTGCCTGCAGTTGCCTGCTGCGCTGCTCGCTTCCTCTGCCGCTGCCTCTCTCTCTCTCTCTGCTTGTACCTCTGTTCAACTGTAGCAGCGCTGCCGCTGCTACTGCCGTCAGTGTATGTGTGTACGTCGCGTTTGCAAGAAGTGGCTTTGAATTTGAGAGTTGAAAAAGTTGCGCTCACGGCTATAAATATATTGAAATACTCGTTTAGAAGTTCAAGCTAGGTTTTATTCAGTTTATGTTATGTTTTTCGACAACAAAGCGCAAAAGCATTATTGCGCACACTCAGCGCGCGTCTAGTGGGTGGCAAAGAGCGCAGAGAGAGAGAGAGAGAAGAGAGAACGTGCGAGAGAGCGAAAGCAATAGCCATAGCAATGACAGTTTTAGTTTCTCTGCTGACTTCAGACAATTCGCATTAATTTAGCAATTAATTTAAGTGTTTCATCTGCGGTTGACAATGCTTTTTTGACTCATACTAAAAAGCAAACAACGATAAAACTACAAAAAAATAGTCATGTGACCACCAATGTAACGTTGCAACCCCGCTGGATCCACAAACTACATCAGCGCAATAACAAAAAGAACCACCACCGCCATCAACAAAGCAACCAAGTGCCTTGGCAGCAGACTTTACAATGAGATTGTTTATTACATAATACGCGATATAATCGAAAAGGCTAAATCGAAGCAAATTTAAACTTTTATAAAAAGAAACTCGCAGAATGCTGCGTGACTAAGGAAATTTGTGATCACAGAACCAAGCGAAAATAAGGCGAAAGACTTACATACATTGAGCATGACGCACGTAAACAATGGCAAAGGAGCGGCGTCAGCGCCAACAAAAGAGATGGAGAGAGGGCGGCAGTGGTGGTCGGCTGTCGGTGTGGCGCCTGCTGCCGGTGCTAGTGAGCATCGATTTTTAGCCACTGAGAATTTCAGTGCTAGCAGCAGCAGAAGCTCTCATGTGGATGCTGTGGATGCTATTAGTGCAACAACAATAGCCGAACACTGCTTAGAGGAATGCGCATTCATTGCGTGCCAAACAAAAGCGTCGAGCGATTGGCACGACGACTTTTGCATCACAGAGGATGAACTTGAATATGAGGATGAACTCGAGCTCTCAGCTGGTTGCAGTGCAATAACAACAGCGGCGTCGACATCGGCAGCGACGCCAGCGTATGAGTATGGTCTGCCGACATTTGGTTTGGGAGAGCGTGAGCAGCAGAATGAACAGTTACTAATGGAAGGTATTTTGGGTCTTGGACATTTCTCAATTGCGTAATGATCTGGCAGGCCTGTTAAATCGATATGTGCTTGCATTTTGATCTTGTATCTTTATTTATCGATAGTCTTTAATTTATGTCGAATTGTAAGGCTTAGCAAACAGTATCGATAGTCTGTAATTAAAGTCGAATTGTAAATATTAGTTGAAATATTGAATTTCATTGTATTAATTGGATAATATTTATTGCTTGCAGTTCTATGTGGTAACCGTGTTAGCCAGATGACTCGTGCCTACGATGATATTGAGGCCGTGACGCGTCTGCTGGAAGAGAAGGAAAAGGATCTGGAGCTGACGGTGCAAATTGGCAAGGAACTCCTCACGCAAAATAATGCACTAGAAGCGCGCGTAAGTGATCTGGAAACAGATCTTAAAGCCTCCAACGATGACCGCGCCCAGCTGCTGCACGAGTTGCACAAGAAGAACGAACTAATTTCGGTGCTCACCAACGATGCAGACGATGCAACTGATGCGGGTAAGTTGAATAAAAATTATAATAATAGGCAAGTAGTAATAATGAACTCATCCACCTTTAGATACGCCTACCATGTCAAAGTCGATCACTCTGGACCTGCTGCAGAAGAAAGTGAACTCCTTGCTCGATGAGAACAAGACGCTGAAGAACGAGGCCACACAGCTGGCCCACCAAACGGACGAGGTGGAGGAGCACGAGCGACGCCTGATGGCGGACATCAGTGCCCAGCTGAACGATGCCAATTCACAGTTCGACAACCTCAGTCTGGAGCTGGAGCGACAGCGCGAAGAGAATCGACTGCAGCACGAGCAAATTGTGAGCCTTACAGCGCGACTGGCCGAGGCGGAGATGCGACTGCATCAGCTGACGCAGGACAACGATGAACACCTATCGCTGTTGCATGTGACGAAGGAGAATCAAAATGCGCTCGCCCTCGAGCTGGTGGAGTTCAAGCAGCGCTACGAGGAGGTGCTGGCGCTACTGCACTCGGCCCAGGATCAGCTGAAGCAGCAACGCAAGCGGTCACAGCCGCAGGCGCGCAGCTCCTTCCTGGGCGGCCTGGGCACGAACGGAGCCGCTGCCGCTGTGGCCGCAGAGTCGCTGCAGTCGGAGCTGATGGAGTCCTCGTTATACTCGGAGAACAGCCTCGACTCGGGCATATCGGGCGATAGCCAGCGCTGCGCGGATCGCATCAGTCGCATGATGTCGCAGCTGCCGGGCGGCATGGGCATGGCGGCCAGCTTCGGCTCCAGCAGCATCTACGGGCCGCCGCCCTACAAGCGCGTCTTCGACACGGTGCGCTGTGCCACCAAGAGCGGCAACTACATGGACAGCGGCAATGTGTCGATGACCCAGATGGGCGCCATGTCCATGAGCAGTTCGTCCGGTCCGCGCATGGCCTCCATGGCGTATCCGGCTGGGTCCTATTATCGCGGCAGCAGCAATTCGCTGGGCCTGAAGACGCTCTCAAGCGAAAGCCTTAACTCGCAGTCGGATGATGGCTATCCGGCGCAGCCTTCTGGCGTGCCTGGTGCTCCAGGTGCCAAGGAGCTGGAGGCGGCACTTAAGCGTCTGACGCCTGCCGAGGTACTGGCTCGGCGTGCGATGCTCTCCTATGCGCCCGCCGGCACCTACAACTACGATGAGCCCCCGACGCATGGCCGCGTCGGAGCAGGAGCTGCAGCAGGCGGACAGCCGGCTGGACTCAATTTGCCCATGGGTGTGCGCACGCCGGACAGCATCATGTCAACGGGATCGGGCTCATCTTCCGGTCTAACGACGCACCAGTGGCGCCTGCCAGAGAAGCTGCAGATTGTGAAGCCCATGGAGGGCTCCCAGACGCTGCATCACTGGTCGCGCCTGGCCACGCCCACGCTAAGTGGACTACTCGAGGAGCGACCGGGCGTGACAATACGCGGCGGTCGCGGCCTCGACGATCTGGGCATGCAGGTGTACACGCTGTCCGACGTCGAGGAGGATGTCAGCGATGATATCGGCCTGGGCAAGCAGTTCGAGGCGCCCGGCTGCACGTACACCTACACGAACAGCATGGTCATGCATCCGGATGATGGTTTCGTCAACGATCTGTCCTTCCTCTCCCAGTCACAGATGTCGTCGCGCATGGCCTCCACATCCACATCCAGACAGCCAAGGTGGGATACCAAATAACAAAAATTTATTTAATTTATTTTATGCACATTGTTTCTCTCTTTTGTTTTTAGTTGTCCGGCCACACCTCGTGCCGGCATGTCGCGAAAGAATTCGTGCTCCACGTTCTCGGTTAATCTGGGCTTGGCCGGCATGTTGAATGAGCGCGGCATCAAGGCGGTCACGCCCAGCGCCTTGAATACGCCCGCCGGCCCTAATTTCTCGCCCACTGTGACGCCCTGCAACAGTCCGGAAGGTTCGCCGCCGCGTGGCCAGTCGCCGGAGCCGCTCTTCGGGCTGCTCTCCTCGGGCGCTGATCTGATCAAGCGCAAGCTGGTGGGCCCCAGCGAGAGCCAGCTGCAGCGCAGCCTCAGCAAGCAGCAGCACCAGCAGAAGGTGATGCTGTCGCATCTGGAGCGTCGGGCGTTGCGCTCGCTCAATCTGATCGAGAAGGTGGAGAGCATCGGGCTGGAGAACATAATCAGTGCACAGCGCGGCCGCAGCGCCGGCATCGCCAATCGCAGCAGCTCGCCGCTCTCCCAGCTGAGCAGCTGTGGCAGCATCAGCGGCGAGAGTCTTCAGAGCGTGCACACGAACAGCAACCAGATCGTGGATGACATCCACTTTGATCGCGCACAAATCAAGGGTGTGCTACATCGCGGCCTCAAATCACCAACGCCGCAGCAGCCCGCAACGTCGATGGGCGTGGTCAGCGGCGGCAGCGCCACGACGAGCGCCTACAGCAGCGAGGACAGCGATGACCAGGGTATAGTGCTGCAGCTGAAGGCTAGGCCACAGCCGGTAGCAGGAGCAGGATCAGGCGGAGCAGGAGCTACAAAAGCAGGAGTAGCGCCAGCAGCACCTGCTGCGTCCGTTGATGTTTCCGCCACAGCCAGTGAAACGCGCGTCAAACAAATGCAGCGACAAAAGTCGCGACGGAACCTGAAGAACGGCATGGCTGCTCAGCGACCCGATCTGGGCACCATAGCAGGCGCAGGCAGCGGCCGGCGAGTGCGGCCCGATCTCGGCAAAGTGGCGGACAGCAGTGCCTCAGCTGCTGGGGATGCCAAGGGCAGCGACAGTGAGTCGAGGGCGGCGCCACAGAGCATTACGCAGGCCTTTGTGGGATCGGTTAGTTCCTTGTTATTTGGTCGCAAAGGAGGCTGGCTGTAAGAAGAAGAAGAGGGGAGAGAGGAGAAACACACATACACAAACACAAACACAAACATAGAAATACAGATGCATCTGCTAGGGAGAGACTCTTTAAGAGAGCTAAGCGCGCCGGACTATGATTTAATTAGACTTCGTTCCATGTGAAGATTCGAATGAGATCAGTAAAGCCAAGCAAATGAGGGTGTACCGTTAGTTGTCGCCGTTGCAGCCGCCATTTTGTTAACGACCGTCGATGTGGATGTTGAAGTAGATGTCGATGTCGATGTCGATGTTATGCAACACTGGCAACACACGCCTGCTGTCTTAGTGTTTGTAGCTGTGATTTGTAAATACTTGTAGTAAAATGTTTAAATTTAGTAGTTATTATTAATTAAAGAATCACTTGTTTTGCTTGTGCAACGGCGGCCAACTAAAAGCGATTATTAACAGCAGCAGCAACAACAACCCAGCAGAATAGTGCTAGAAAAAAAAAACAAAACTAAAGTTCCAAAGCAGCTTTTTATTTACTCAACACACTTAACGATATAAACTTATATATGATTTTTGCCAATTTTGTATTTATTTTCATCTATGTGTTTACTTAAAGGGTACGAAACGTAGTTTACGAATATACTATATTACTTTTAATTTTATTTTTATTTGGTTTTCTCGCTCGATAATAATTCGCTGTATAAACCGAAGAGTGTGCGAACAGAATTATGTATGTATATAAGATATAATTAACTGAAAGTGGACTTGCAAAAAGGTATATATATTTTTTTACACGTGTATATATATAGTTTACGTTATTGCTTTCCACTCTAGCCGACTTACGTATATCACAAACAAGAAATTGAACACTATATATCTTTTTAACTGCCTGCATTATTCTAAAACGCTTCTGTTTTTGGTGCTTTGTACGCAGCCATGCAAAGAAAAAAGAAGAATATCCCAAAATTAATTTGTTTCTAGTCTTTACATACTACACACACACAAAGAAAAAACGCGGCACTCCTTTGGCTATGCGCTTAGCTTTATCAATGCATAGCTTCTAAACGGAGTGCACTGAACAAACCCCAATAAATATTTACTCTTTTGCATACTATTTTAGTTTTTATTCTCAAAGTAAAGCAACTACAACAACATTTGGCTGTTAATCGGCAGTGCTGTTGGCTAGCATAACATAGTTTGCAACACATGTTACTAGATCACTGTTAGCCAACAGCGTTCGCTGTGTGTGGAAGAGCCCTTATTCTATCACAAAATGACAAAAAAAAAAAAAAAAAAAAAAAAAAAATGAACAACAAAGAAAACAAATTTGATATATTATTTTGCATTATTTACATATACTTTGATTTGGGCAAAACAAAACGTATATCACTGATGAAATTATTGTATTAAAATCAAGAGCAACATAAATACATATATTGACGAAATTGTTCACGCTTTGAAAAATTAGGTTTACAGTTTGTAATAAGAAAACCCAAAACACAAAAAAAAATAAATAAATACGAAATAAATAAAAACCGGCATCAGAGCGAAACGAACATGTGCCCGATGAAAATTAAAAATCTAAAACAAGAAAATGTAAAATTTATTAGTTGTAACTATTATCAATATATATTTATTTACGTATGCAAAAATAAAGAGAACATCGTTAAATAATAATCGACTTTTAGTATTATTTATTGGCCGAATTTATGCGCTATATTAAACATATGTATCTTATTTGGCAGAGAAATTGTTTAAGCTCGAATCTGCACAAGATTTAAGGATTATATCAATTGAAAAGGATAAGTTAAAGACTCACAGAGTTTCTGTTAGCCCTAAAAAAAACTTTTTTAGGCATTTACTACGTAACCTTTTGAGAATCGCATAGGGAGGGTTAAAGTCAGTTCATCGTCATAGTAAAAGCTCGAATAGCATATTGAATCATATACGATAGTATTTCACGTAAAAATTTGCCATCTCCAAGGTACTGCAAGCTCCCAAAATCGAAATATTTAAAATAGATTATCCATTTGATACAAAATGTTTAATTTTCATATATCGTTTTTATTTCATTGTAATGACTAACATTTTAAAAAATTACAATTCAATATTGGATAAATTAATTGTAAGCATATAATTTTATAATTTCTGCTTTATCCTGACTATAATTTGTTAAATTTGTTGTAAGGTTTGTTTCATTTTCATTCATGTTCATTTTCTCAATATTTTTTTCTTTTTCTTAAAGTGTCCGTGTTTTTTTTTCATCATATTTTATAGATTTCTTTATATATATATATATATGTATATATATATATATATATATATATATATATATATATATATATATATATTTATAAATAATTGTTGTTTTGCTGTGTATTTGTTGTATTTATGTGTATTGCAACAGCTGCATTTAGCGTTTAAATGTATGTAGTCATTAATGTAAAATTTGTATGTACTTGTTAATTAATTGTTTATTGCTGTATGATTTAGTAATATATAAATAGTTGTTATCCAGCGGAGTTTTGTATGTTACAGAGAGAATAGGGAAAGCGCATAGGATCCGACCATTATACCATTCCTTTAAGCACATCGAAATCAAAATTGTTTGCAATTACATGGAAAACCCGAGAGTACGCTAATTCGTGTATGGTTCAAGCATGGTTCGACTTAATAGTTATGTAACTAGTCTATATTTTCTTTAGATTCACGTTTTCCTTTCGTTTTATTTGTATTGTTATTTAGAATATGTTTCTCACTATGAAATGAATCGGCGTCTGAGCGCTGGCTAAACTAAACATGCGATTAAGTACATCATTTGCAGATCGTTTACATCAAATGCAGCGTTCAGCTTAAAGCAGATATCATTCCTCCATATATCTATATATATATGTATATCCATATATCTATATATATATTTATATGTATAGCTTTCTACACGTGATTCATTTATATTTATCGTTATTTATTTAATTTTTGTTTTGTTTTTGGCTATATTGCAATAAAATATATATTTAGTCATATTATTGCCTATGGTGCCTGACCCTTGACATTAATTTGAATTCGGACTGGGATTTGGATTTGGAATCGAATTTGGATTTGGATTTGTGGATAGGTACATAATCGCTACTATTACAGATGCTATAGATGTTTATCTTTTTGCTACGATGCCCGGCCACACAACCATTTTATGGACACTTTGAGGGGGGCATGAAATAAAATTAGAATTGCGTTTGTTTGGCGAAATATAAAATTAAATAAATTACATTAATTAATACATACAATAAATACAATTTTTGTTGCCAATTCATGCGAATTTCAATATATAAATATAACTGGGCTGTGATCGACTCGTCTATAGAATATTGGGCTGTTTTCAATCATAGTGTCTCGTTTTTGTGTTGTATTGTTTTGTGTTTTTAGCAATTATACAGTTTTCGAATTTATAGCGGTTGTTTTGGTTTTGTCTTGTTTGTTGTTGTTGTTGTTTTCCTTTTTTTTTTTTTTTTTTTTTTTGAAAAAATGAACACTTTTTATCTGGTGGGAATATACATATGGTTTTGGAAATCTATTGCACAGAACATGAATTTTTGTGGCCATTTTTGTGCTTTAGACGCGCCTTCGGCTTGTATTTCTCCAAAAATGAGAGCTGCTTGGCATTGATAGCGCCGCGTCGCTTACTAAACAAAAATATGAGTATTAATAATTGATTTCATAGATTTCAGATTATGACTCACTCTCTAATCATTTCAACAGCTGCTTCATATTTCAAGCCCAATTCGATGAGTGCAAGTGCAACCAAAACGGGGGCACGTCCCAAACCAGCTACGCAATGAACGGCAACGCACGCCTCGGGGTTCTGCTGATATCTGTGGATGAGATAGATAAATAAAAAGATAAATGCATGAATATATCAGTATATTTTATTGAGCGCACAGTAAAGAGAAGTTTAGCTGTTGAAATTGTCATTGTTCATTCAGTGTGGTTCTAAAGGCTCGCTTTAATTTGTATTACAAGGCAACGCTTACCGACAAGTCTCATTATCAACGAATGCAGTATTATTGTATCTTGTATCTGTTTCATTTGCTGTCAGGGGCATTGTATCTGTATCTGTGTCTGAAGAAGCTGTAGTATTTGATGCTGTCGCTGCTGCTGCTGCTGCTGCCGTTGCCGCCGACGCCGCTGCCGAGAGGCTGGCTCGAGCTGCCATTGGAGCTGTTTTTGGTATGTGTCTAAGCGAGAAACGCTTATGTCTGTAGTAGGATAGTGTGGCGCTTGTGGACTTTCTAAAACTAGCCAGCGGATAATAGCACACAAAACCAAGAAACGAAACGGAGTACACACATATACATATACATATATATATATATACAGTTACAAACCAATATATATATATATTATATACATATATGCATGGAGGAAGTAGGTAAGACTTTCGAAACCGAAATTAAATAGTTTATATTCAAGTATTTATGGATATCTACTGTGAGGTTAAATCAAATTTACAAAGGCATCTAGGGAAAACTTAACGAAAAAGTGATATGGATATGGATATGGATATATTACATTAAAAAGATCTAAACTTATACAGCAAATCAAATATATTTATGGTAAAAAGAAATGATATTCAATAAGTGTGATCTGGTATAGAGAGCTACATAACAGCAAGGCCTAAGCGAGGGCTACGGGATATGGTGCAGATATATGCAGATATATATATTGATATAGATATAATCGATGTTTATGTTTTATATATATTGTTTGATGGGAGATTTGAAGCGCAGCTCTTTGAAATGTTGTTAGCAGCAGGTTAGTCGATGATTTGTTTTTGGAATTCGTTTTAATGTTCATCTCATTGTCGGTGTATAAAGCAACAAATAATACTGAATAAATTGATAAAAATCAACTTTGGTATCGCTTTTTGTTTTTGCAAATGAGCCTAAGCTACGCAATTTATATAAAAACATATTTAACTGGATTTGAAGAATAATTAAACGTAATTGCTTAGATGATAAAGAAATCGTTGTAAAATTCGCTGAAGCAAAGAACTAGTTCAGCAAACTATTAGCTGCATTAATTCAGTCTATCAACAATAAAGTTGAATTGGCTATGAGCTACCCTCAGTGATCTGTTCTTCTAGCGGTTCTTAAAAACTTCGTTATTTTTAACTTTGTTCGCCTGTTCATGAACCATACGTTCTATTGAGCTCTATTCAGCGTTTGTTTTTGGCTGATTAACAAATACAAATTTATCATAATTAACTGAACTTTATCTATGTTCATGAACTGCAAAACGCGCTGAACTAGTGTATAAATAGGAGTACATAAAGGTGAACTTGTTCAGCAAATTTAATTTAAATTCGAATTTTTAAATTTTAATGAAAATTTAATAAATTTTACAAAGAATTTTTAGAAAAGTCTTCCATATATATTATATATAGTGGAGTCTCCATAAATATAAAAAAAAAATGACCCTCTTGCCATATCGAATTATCGGGACTCGACTGTGTATAACAAATTTAATAAAATATTTTGTAAAACTTTGATAAATAGTCAAGTTACTTGTACCTATTAATATTACTAAACATTTAATATAATTATAACTTTTGACTCTTATAAGTGAATAGTTCTATAATAGAACTATATCATATAAGCAATTTTAGTTCAATTTAATTCTGATAGCTCAAATTTCTGGTCGTCATTTAGAGAAAACAAAATATTAATTATAAATATTATGACTTCAGCTTGTTGAAGAAATGATATAGAAATCGAGGGTATGGCACTTAGCTCAGACTTACTTGTCCTTCAACACCTCAAACCACTCGTCGACGACCTGCTGGGGCGGAAAGGTGCCATCGTCGAAGGCTAGATCCTTAACAGTAATACCCTGGGCCTCCAGCTCGTCCGTATTGTAGCTGGGCTCGCACACCCGCACCACAGTGTTAACATGGTTCTTTTTAAGCTCCTGCAAAACCCCGGAATAATAATGAATTATGATGGAAATGAAAGTTAGATATTTGTGACTTTGATACTCACCATTATATAGTGATTAATTGTTATGTCTGATGGTCGATCGGTGATTAGGAACTTCATGCCCTTATACTCAATAAGAGCTGGTGCTGGGCGCAGATCTTTTTGACGCATTTTGTTGCTTAACTTATAATAACTTTACAAATCAGTTGAATTGATTACAAAATGGGTGAACTCCTCGCTTACAATATGTTAATCGATCCTAATTCTTGTTTTTCAAACTACGTTAATATTACGTGTTATGTGTATTTGTGTTAATTGTTTCAAAATTGTCTGGGCTAAATATAAATGTGAGTGTGTGTGTATGTGTTTTGTTTTTCCTTGTTTGATTTGACTTTGGGAAGTTACGCGATTTTATTTAGATAGATAAAAATTCAGCGTAATTTTAGAAATTTGTTTTGTAAAAATATATATAAATATAAAGTTTCTTTTTTTTTTCTTATTTTTTCTTTAGCAGGCTTTAGATTTATACACCAAACCAAATAATTGTTTAAGTATAAATGAATAATTCAATAATTAAGTACAAATTTTGGATATCTTCAAAACGGTTATCACAAAAAATATATAAGTATTTTTTGCTGTGCCTCAACCCCGTCTAGTAAAAATCCCTGTGAATTTCGCTATATCGAATCTATCGGCGAATCTATCGAATTAAATTTATTTCAGGCGCAGTTGCTGCTCCTCTTCAATGGTTACAATTCTTGTTTCCAAACACTTTTCGTTGTGGCACCCTACGGTTAAATGTGATTTCTTTGTGATATGAACTCAGTTCACCCAGACGTTAAAAACTTTCGCTCGGGACTGCTCCTAATTCAACTCCCTCTCTTGCTCTCTCTCTCTCTCTCTCTCTGTCTGTCTCTCCCGTTCTGTTGAACAGTGTCTTTCTGTCTTGAACTCTGCTCCACTCGCTCCACGCTTCGAATCAGTTTTGGCGTCCGTTGACTTCCGGGCAGAGGATGACAGCGCGTTGTCTCAGGCTATCGCGGCCTTCTTTGCTTTTTGATTACCTGAAATTCACACAAAGCATTGGTCAATAATCGATAGTAATCGCAAATTAGAGAGTGCTCGACTTTAATATACCCTATAGACTTCTAAGTATCAGCGAGTCTTGATTGTTTCTGTTTTGCATTTACATTAAATTTCCACATAAAAGCTATGTTCTTTTGAAATGTTCGTGAACTACTAGTTCTATTCAGCAATTCAGCTGTTGTTTCTTGAGTACTTAAATTCTTGAATTGAACCAATATGAATTATTCACGATTGACAGTAAAGTCCTATTGCATAAAAGTTGTCAGTAAATTGTGAGAAATCCTACTTAAAAATTGTATATATAGAGTATATATAATAAGTACAGGATTTACTAGCTAAGCTATCCATAACAAACACAAGAATTCATCTATTTGAAACCTATTTCTGCATTTTGAAATTTGGATAAATTGTTATCAAGTGACTCTATAAATTCTATTGAATAAAATTTAAAACTTGAACAAATTTTGTTCTTAAGTGACCCAATCGAATTCCATGAGAACTAGAAGTTTGTCTCTTTAGCTAAATTTTCAGCAGTCGTTTCGATTAATTCTCAAATTTAAAGCAATTGTTGCCTCAATTTTAAATTGACTGTTCAATTAGCTTTATTAATTGCCAAATTTATAGTTTTGGTCCTCTTGAATTTCGTTCATTTCGCTTTAATTGTTCAAAAATTTCTGTGGACAAGTACAAGGGAGAAGAATTCGAGGGGAGCATTTGAGCAAATTACACGCAATTCGGGAATTTCACCATTTCGGCATTTAAAAGTTCAGCAACATTCATGACCTTTGACTGAATACACACATATGTATATATATATATATATTTATATATATATATATATATATATGTATGTATATGTATATATGTCTGCCCTAGACTTACTTTTTATTTGTGCTGTGCCTGGCAGTATTCTGCACTGTCTAGATGAAACTCCATAGATGTGGGAACAGGTCTAACCAACTGCAAGAGGAATGCGAGAAAAATGGAATAGTTAGTATAAAGTTAGATTATTATTATTATATATATGCGATTGTAAATGTGTATGTGAATGATACAGCAAGAAAATATTTAAAATATGACAAAATTCCAAATATACACAGATTTTCACAATGCTTTGCTTTGTCCCGATTTTTTTTTCTTTTTAAGAAACACAGACATATACATATATAGATGGATATGTGTATAACAGCCCGTCAAAACTAGATACAACTGAATATTATTGTATAATATATGTATATAGAGAGACACTGGTGCACACACACACACATTCTTGTTATAAACATACATATTTGGCATATCTTTGTTGTATATAGATAATATCTTCAGCAAATATTTAGCTTTGTTTGAAGGTGTGTTGGTCGGTCGGCCGGTCGGTCTATGCAGGTCTTAAATATAACTATACAAACAATCCGATTCCGCTGAAATTTGGCATAATATTGTTGATAAAAATGGAATGAGCATGGGAACAAATGTATAAACACACACATAGAGCAATTGTAGAACTTGTGGCTTTTCGAGTGGGAAACGTAGAACTAATTAACAAACTCTTGGAAATCGTATAGCCTGGTATTTGTCTACAAATATATGTATTTAGACGTGAATGGTTTCGTCATTTTGGGCCACATGATTTATATTTGAACAACTTTCACTTGTTTGTACCTTTGGGGCACTGGGAGCTCAGAATCACGCGAAACGAACGTACGTATGGGAGTGAAATATCTGTTCATATATACGTATGCATGTATGTACGAACATATGTACTATATCAGCTGTTTACTTGGCGTTTTCTGGTTTTTACTTGACTTATGCAATGTATTTTGTTTTGCGTCTTTGCAAAATGACAAACACAAATATATACACACACATACACACAGAGAGACAGGTATATACAAACGACTATATATATAGATAAATGATGACACTGGTGTTATTTGTTTATTAGTTATAATTAGTATATGGTGTTAAGTGATTAATACCGACTCTAATCTTAGTCGCCAGTAATGCGGCGCGATAATATCTCGATTAGATATCGACAGGTGTCAATTCTAAGACGCTGATCGATTACACTGAGCAGACACCAAATGATGCGCGATGAGCACTGTTTCATCTTTTGCTATCGACTGAACGTTGCCAACTCATTGCCGGAGCAGGCCAGCCAGCCAACAACCAATACAAATTCAAACAACAATTACTGTGAGCGCAGCAAATAGAAACACAGAGAGAGAGAGGCGGAGAGGGCGAGGAACTTAGCCTGAGCGAACAAAATATAGAGAGCGAACCTGACGCATAAATCGTATGAAAAACGAACGAGAGTGCGACACGAATACAAATACGAGTACTTGCAGTTCATTTGTTTTGTTTGCTCTCTCTTTCAGCTGCGAGTGTGTTTGGGCTCTCGCCTCTCGCTGTGACGCACATTAGTTCACTCGCATCGCTATGGAATATGGACAAACACGTATATATATGTATATGTATATATATGTGTGTGTATGGATGTATTTACATATGTACTTGCATACGTACGTACGTACAATGCTCCCGTCTCAAAGCAATATTTGGTTATTCTGGCGCATTTTTAAGCCTTTTAACGAGATGTGTGAATTGCTGTCGCCTTAAATTGTTTTCAATTGCTTTAAAGACAAACAAAGCCAATTTCGTGTGTGGCCCACCTCAATTTCAAATCCAAGAGCGACCAATCGAAATATCGATTAATTTAGAGATGATTAAACTGCAGCTCGTGAGATCTGACACGAAAGCAATAAGAAATCCCGATAAAAATGAATAACAATTATGTATTCAGCATAATTATTTATAACTCATCATCATTAAGATTATATAAATAATTTGCGCATGTATTAAATCGAAAATAGAACTTCAACAAATCATAATGTATGAATTATGTTATATTTAACATATTTACTTTCGAAATATTAGGTGCGACGCGCCTATATTATTTATATCCTCTGTGAAACTCAAAATGCGACTGCAAAGGTAAATTACACAAGAGCAAATTCAGACTAAGAGAGAAAAACTTATGTATAGGAGAGACCGGCCTATGAAAATGTATTTATTTTTGGAATTTTTTTCATATTCCGTTTGCGTTGCTTTTTTTTTTCATTATAAAGAAACATATGTATTTCTACGTACTTGCGAAGCATAATATAAATACACATTTTTAAAAATACATGTGTTTATTATGTAAGTTTTTCCCATTAACAAAGTCATTAAAAAAGTATAGAAATGATTTCTAATTTTTTTTTTTTAATTTATTTCAATCGGAATGCAAATACCGCACAACAGCTTTCGGGCCAAGGTCAACGTTATTTAAGAAAAATAACAAACCAACTTACGACAGTTAAATTATAAAGAATTATCTGATTATTTATCGCACGATAACAGAAAAAAAAAAACCAAACACATTCAAGGTCAGGCCGCAAAACAATTGCAGTTCAAATTGAAACCAGTTTAAACTAATATGACGACAGTAAAATGAGGCTCCAGACAGTCGGACTATGGCTGGGCAGGTACTATGTGCCCATTTGTAGTGTAAATTGTAATTTATTGTAATTGCGTTTTATTTTTATTTTTGTTGTTACCCACACGGTCCAAGTGGCCGGATGAATTTTCCAGCAATTTTCCCCTATACAACAAAGCCCCATGCCACGCTTCAATGTGCTCAGCTAATTTGCTTGATATATCAGGGAAGTGAAGGCCTCGTATATCCATATTTTATAATAGGTGCACCACAAACTATTTTCCATGGACTATGAAATGCTCAAGTTCATTGCTAACTTTTCAACACCCTACACTTTAATTTCAATGAGTCTAGTGCGTTTGAGAAGTCTGTATAATATATGCAAATCTAACTATTTTACAGGGTGTTTTACAGTCTATCAATGCGAAAAAGTTATTTTATAGAATACATTTGTGCCTGGTAAATAGATAAATGATAGATTATACCTATACTTGACTAACTTAATTTTGCTTTGTGTGGGTTTATCCAAACCAGATCATAAATACTTTATTAAAAGGCTTTCACATCTAAACTAGATCTTAAATGATTTATAAAGGCATTTGCATTTAATCCAGATCTAAAAAGTCTATTAGTTATACACTGCTTTATTAATTATATTTTTAGTATAGCTTGAATAAATGTAAATCTAGAAGAGTTCTTAGATAGTTGTACCGATATTATTTATTGTTAGCCTAATATGTGTATTTCATAGATGTATATAAGAATTCGAACTGGAAAATGCCAGCTCAATCCGCTTGGCGACATGACGAAAATCGTGTTAGCCTTATTTGGCACTAAATTCGTAGACACGAGACACTTTCCGTTAACTAATCTTATCTGTATAATATGACGAATATATATATATATGTATATTGCATAGTGATGTAAAATACAGGCAGCACCTCAAGGCTTTCAAGCATTAGATTTAAGTGAAAAATTGAATTAAATTTACGAATATCTCGAGGAACACAAGATTAAATTCATATCTCAAGAGGAAAATATATGAAGAGAAAGAGAGGGAAAGTGAGAAGAAAGAGTTGGAGAATAAATATGTATATAGACAGGGCGTGAGACATATAGAGAGAGAGCCAGTAGATACAGTTGAAGCAGGAGGAGAAAGGGGAGGTACAAAGGGGGAAAAAGATTTCGCAAGGTAATGACAAAGAGAAAGACAGAGATAGAGACACGTAGTGTGGAAGGTAAGCTTGAAACTTTGCTGGCCAAACAAATTGAGGATAAAGTGAGCAGAGCAGAGAGCCAAGAGTTGATTGCACTCCGGCCAGACAAGTCAATGCCATTGTGAAACATGTCGCTGGTAGACAAACAAACAACAACAACAACATTAACACTAACGCAACGGAAGGAGGCGAAGATTCACGCAGGAGCAAGGAACAAAATAATGGAAACAGATATGAACCCTCTTAGGTATGCGAATTTGGGTATTCTCTAGACAACAAGGCAGCAAAAAAATAAAAATAAATAAATAAAAAATCTGGTATAAAATATCGAAGTTCACAGCCGAAAAATAATGCATATATACTTTATTATATTGCTAAATGAAAGGAAAAAAGCAATGAAAAAAATATTTTTTTTTTTTTTTTAGCAAACTAAACAACGACGGGAAGAAACCTGATTCGTCTGTCATTCAATATGCTCAAACGTGCCCTTATAATTCAAGGCGATAACTTTCAAGTAAGACCCAGACACTGGCCAGACATTGCCTGCTATTTGGCCAATTGTGATGAATCATCAATATCACTAATTGCATGAAAGTGCAAAAGGCAATTACGATTAAAAAGAGAAAATAATAAATACATAAATATTTAATAAGCTAGATTTGCGATTTTCGACTGGAAATTTAAGGTTTCATTAATAGAGATCTAGAGATCATTATTAGAGATCTAATACAAAATGCCATTATATGACTATTTCAATTTGTACTCTATTCGGGATCCAAAAAAATCGATCTAAGAACATTATACAACTAGAATAAAATCACATAAAAGAATTCCATGTCTATTTGCTATAAAAATATATACCTTTGCAAGCAAAAAAAAAAATAAATAAAAAATAAAAATAAAAATTATAATAATAATAATAATAATAATTGTAATAATAAATAAATAAACCTATAAACGATCATTCGCTTTAAAGCTATCGTCTTATGCATTCATCTTATTCTTTTAAATGTATTATTAAATGGCCTATGCATCAACTATTATATATGAAAAAAAAAAAAAAAAAAAAAAAAAAAACTTTAAATGAGTTTATTTAACTCAACAAATAAAGTTGTTTGATTAACAACATTAACAATTCAGTATTTGGCACATTTAGAGCGAAAAGTAGAGCACACGTAAAGCTAAAAAAAATAACTAGGACACTATTGCGACTTTGCTCCGAAATATTGATTTAACGGCTGCTGGCTGTTGGCTGTGGCTGTATGAACAGCAAAGGAGGTGTTGAGGGCGTGGCTAATCCAAGTGTAAACACAACACAAAATGCTAGTCTGCCCTTTCACTTTCATAATGGAAATTATCGGTACTGAAGGCTTGCGGCACAAAATGAGGTCGTTGTCTATGTTAATGGGATACCCATTAATCGAAGGTGGCTCAAATAGTTCAGGTAGAGTAGATAAAGCTCTCGTTGTTCTATTTTTATACTCGTAGGAAAAATGAATGCTAAATAGCATTTAATATGCGCTCCTAGTTTAGAGATAATTTGTTTATGTACTACTAAACGCAGTTATTTCGATATTGACATTGACGTTAGTCCTCAATATAAATAATAAAATTATCTAAAGGTTATTAAATAAAAGTATTAAATATCATTGCATTTGAATATCCTACCAAATTTAATTTAACTAAGTCCTATGACCACAAAATAATCTAATATATTTTATATATATATTTTAGATTAATTAGCTTCATGAAAATATATGATGTTATTGCATTACAACGAAATTCTGTGTTTTTAATAATTTCAATGTGAACTTAATAGATTTTGTGCATGATTTTAATTTTTTCTTGCATCTTTCTTTCCTTGAATTTAATGTTATTAGATTGAATAAAAATTCTAAAATAGATAAAGCATACACTACAAATTATACATATGTATATAAAACTTATATAAATTATAATTCGCGCAATTGAATGACGTAATATGTCGGGCAGTGTTCTAGTATTTAAAGCAAAAATAATTATTTGTTTACATCAACATTTTTGCCGGCTTCACAATTTTAATTAAGATCAAAAATGCATGTTGTAATTCTTCAGTCCATATATGCTACATTTGAATACTATATCAATTTTTATATTGTATTCAGTGTTTGCTCATGAGCACAACTAACCTTATACTCATTGTTTCTCACTTTTTTTAAAAGATATTTGTTTTTTTTTCCTTTTGTCTTTTATCAGTGTTAAAGCTATTTTACTTTAATCAAAACTTTTTACGATTTATATTGCTTGGCACATACGCACATTTCTCAACTTTAAGTGCTCATCAAGCGAGTATATAGCCTTATATATATATATATATATATATATATACATTGATACGGCGTTTGTCAGCTTGTATATGTGAAGTGCCTGAGGAGTCTTGTATTATTGCTTGATAATCTTTGGTGCCAAGCAGCAAGGCA